AAGATTTTATTTATTTATTTGAGAGAGAGAGAACACATGAGAGGGGATAGGGTCAGAGGACGAAGCAGACTCCCTGCCGAGCAGGGAGCCCGACGCGGGACTCGATCCCGGGACTCCAGGATCATGACCTGAGCCGAAGGCAGTCGCTTAACCAACTGAGCCACCCAGGCGCCCCCCACCTTCTTTTCAATAGACCTTCATCTTCCCGTGTCTCCTTGGGCTCCATGTCCCTGGGGCTTTGGAGAAAAGGTTTCCTGAGAACCTGCTCTCCTAATAGCTCCTCCTGTCATGGCCATCAACGCAAAAAGCTGAGAAAAACAAAGGAATGTTGGCCAAGTGGAAAGGTCAACACACACACACACACACACACACACACACACACACACAAGCTCATAGTGATGTTGCTCAGAGGTGGGACTGGTGGGGGTAGGGTAGGGATCAGTGAAGTGCTCTTTGGGAGGAGGCTGAGGGCCTAGAGGCCCTTTCCAGAATAAAGTTTTGGCCCAACCCAGACTATGAGTAAAAATTCTCACCTCTGATGGAGGAGGAGCCCAGCTCTGCTGAGGAAGAGCCCAGTCTGGTTCACTGATGCTGTGTGAAGGGAGAGTCCTCGGAATAGGGTTCTGCCTGGGGAGCGTTTGCTGGGCACCACTCCCCCTCCGGCAATACCGTCCCAATGTGGGGCTCGCCGGTGCGGACTGTGGTGGAACAGTCCTAGAGGACTGCCTGGAGGAGTCGTGGCAGTCCCAAGTTCCATCGGCCCTCAGAGACCACTTCTAGCACTCTGGGCCCTGCCTGCTTCAGCCAGGCCAGGGTCATGGAAGCAACTATCTTTCCATTAAGCATAAAGCTTTGGCCACACCAAAAATGCTCCCCCTGCTCCGGGCCTAGCCCATCTCCTCTGGCTCATAGGTGAGCATCATTCCACTCACTCCACATTACCCCAAAGCCAGACCCAGCCATTCTCTAACCACCCTGGGGCACAGGCACTACCGCTATTTCTGTTAGATGGGGACACTAAGGCTCCGGGAAGAAAAGTCCAGGTCTGGACGAGTCTGAGGCGCCATGAACCAGGCTTTTCAAGTTGCCAGCCAGCAGGCAGCTGACTCCAGTTCAAGAGTTCTAGGGGGAAGGGGACAAGCCCTGGCGTGGGACTCAGAACCCTGGGCTCCAAGCCCATATGCCCACTGCCTCTCGGTGACTATGGAAAGCTACTTTGCCTCTCTAGGTTTCAGGCTTGCATCTTTGAAATGGGGCAGACCCAGAGGCACCTGCCCAGCTCACCTCTGTCCCCTGTAGCTCACCTCTGAGGGCGCAGACCACTGAGGGCCGGGAGAGGAACAGGCCTTGAAGGAGACCACCCCCAGGGTCTGGGGCAAGGGTCGCCAATGGCTTAATCTTTCCTGTTACTGTGAGAGAAGTTGCTAGAAGGTAGAGCTGGCCACACCTCCACCCCAGCCCATGCAGAGACCAACCAAGGGGTCTGTTCACCAAGGACCAGAATCCAAGGTCATTGGCAACTGACGCCTGAGGGTGGAGGGCTGGGCTTAGAGGGCAGAGCTAATGGGGAGAGGGCCCACTTCTAGCTCCAGGTGGTGCCAGCCCAGCTCCCCTGCAGCCCCATGGGGACCTCAGCAGACATCAACACCCAGCCCTCCTCTCAAAAAAGACAAAAACGATGGACAGGGAATAGTTATAATGACAGCTGTAACAGCTCTCCTCAGCATCACCGCATAAATCCTTCAGCCTCCCCATGTCCTCTCTGAGGGAGGCCCTGTCACTCTCCTTACTTCACAGCCAGGAATTTTCTCAGGGTCAGTGAGGTTGAAGGAGACTCCCCAGAACCAAGTGCATGGCACACAATCCAAACTGGAGCAGCAGGGGGGCGGTCGGGGTAAGACCAGGGTGGGGTCCTGTCGGCCAGGATTAAACCTCCAGGGCCTCTTCTTGAGTCTCAGATGTGGGAGGCTCAGCCTGCTGCGCAAGGGCAGCTGGGCAGACCCCTCGGGCGGCTGGCCGTGTGGCCTGCCTAAGCTGGGGAGCAAGGCCCACACCGTGCAGTCGGGGTGGTGAGGACTCACTCACCGTGAGAGGTTGTTGAGTTTCTGGCAAAGCTAGAACCTGCTTTGTTTAAAACTGGTCTAACAGGTTGGTGTGAAGGGACTGCCCAGGCCTGCACAGGTTCCACGTCTCCTGGAGGAAGATGGCCTTTGTGAGGTCCCCAGAATCCTCCTGCTTTCTTGGTCGGGACTTACTTCAAGCGCCTGCCCCTGCCCCTCACTGTGGGCCGCGGTGCAGGCTGGGAGCATTTCCGCCTGAGAGTGCAAGCTGCCCAGCTCTGCCCCCAGCCCGATCCAGACTCGTGTTCGGCCTTGGCCCAGGGAGATTTACTCAGTTGGCAGATTAAAAGCTGAGCCTGGGTACAGAGGCACTGATGATCCTAGGGGTGGCAGGACACTTGGTGATCATGGGAGAAACGTCCCAGTAAGATCTCACTGATGAGAGAAATCTGGATGGCCTGGTGGTATCTCTGTCCCAAAGTCATTCCGGAAGGCTATTATGAGTCTACGGAGGGATACCATGTGGGATCATTCTCCAAACCCACCTCCCCATGGCCTGGTGGAATCCTCCAGGGCCCGGCCTCCAGCCCTTGCCCCTGCTGCCTCCTCCAGAAAGTTCTCCTGACCCCACTGGTTGGGCACTCGAGGACACAGGGGGATAAACCCAGCATCTAAGATCAATTTGCCTGAAAGCTGCCAACCCCAGCTGCCTGTTCTTGCTAGCTCATGTAGCAGCCCAGGGGCAGGGGGCCATTGGGACCCCTCAAGGTAAGCTCTGCTCTGTGCCTCACTTCCCCAGCCAGTGCCTTGCCCCCTCTGGGCCTCAGTTTCCTCCTCCGTGGAGTATGGGTCATATTTAGGTCTAGTCCCACAGCTGTGGCGAGGACTGCATGAGGTGCAAAGCCCTCGTCCATCGCCAGCACCTGGCGGGCACCCTGAGCCACCCCCCAACCCCTGCAGACAATGAAGAGTTTGTGGGCCTCCTCCTGCGACAGCAGCTTTCTGTCCAGGCCGTGGCACAAAGTGGGGAACACCCGGCCTTTGGCCCCTCTGTGTCCACTACCCACCCATCGGGTGACTCAGATCTGGGGGTGGAGCAGACAGAGGAGTTACAAAGGGGCTGAGATCCAGGCTGGAGCAATGAGGAACAGCAGATATCCCTGGCAGGGTCATGGTGACCTGGAGGAGGCGTGCTGTCGGGCCCTGCAGCCAGCAACAGAGAGGGTGCCAGGCTGGGCACCTGGGCCTGGGCACTAGTCCCAGTAAAGTCAGCCTTCACTCACCTCTTATTCACTCTCATCCAGTATCAGCTCTATTCTTTGCTAGAACTATCTCCATGCCCACAAATTTCTGTGCCTCCACAGTTCTGGCTTTTTATCCCTTCCTGCTTCCTCCTGTCATCAGTATACGGCTCCTTATACCTTTCTGCTCTCAGTCTTCCAGCATTTGTCCCTTCTAATCATCTAAAGCCCAAGAAAACAGGAAGGTTAAAACTATTTCTAAAATAAGGGTTAGAAGGCTATAAATGAGTTTCAGAAGAGCTTTCCTGTGAGTTATTCAAGTGAAAGTGCAGAAAACTTCAGGACACAGTGGAATTTCAGATACGGAAGTGTTACAAAGTCAGACCATCAGATGATGGAGAGTATTTTCATTTTAATCGCTCTTCCATCTACTTCTGGGGTATAGGGCCCTGAGAGGAGAGGGGTCCCCCCAACCCCAACTAGCCTGTGCCAGAACCCTTCCAGGTCCCACCTCAGGCCAGACCCTGCCAGCTTACTGGCCACCATCCCCAGCTCCACTGTTCTGCCCCACCGCACAGAATGACCCCTTCCCCACACCTCCTTGTGGTCACGCCCTGGTGCCTTTGCACTCCCTGTATTTCTCCCGAAATGATTGGCCCCGACTTCTCTGTTGGCCTCATCTCAAAAGACACTGCCTCCGGGAGTGGGTGTCCCCATAGCACCCTTCCCCCAGGATCCTCCACTTTCAGTCTTTAATTGACATCTCCTGTTTACACGTCTCTCAGGTCGGGTGGTCTGCTGCCACCACCCCCAGCTGGCAGAGGCCTGGGCAGTGACCCAGCAGGCAGTCCCGCTGCCCTTCACCTCCTGCCTCCCGTTCTCCAAGGGGAACAAGAGGTAGCAGGAGAGGAAGCCTGCTCCCTGTTCCCCTCCAACTTTTAGTGGGTCCCCTAGTAGGGCCTGCTCAGCCATATAAGGTCGCTGGGCGCCAGCTGACCCAGATGTAAAGTGGGGGATAATAATAATATCAAATGGGACAAACTGTATGAGAACTCAAAAGAGGACCCACTGAGGGCTCCTTAAATGAAAAGTACAATTTTATTGTTGATACAGAAAAAATCAGTAGAAGAAAAAAAGACTACTGAACTGGGTTTTGCCTGTTATAATAATAATTATTTTATAAAGTCTTATCAGATACGTGTTCCTTTCCCTCTCATGTGCAGGTGCCTTCCTGGGCAGGAAGCGGGCCCAGCAGACCCGGGGCCCAGCCAGACCAGCCCTGCGCAGGTAGGGCTCTGCCCTGCGGCGGGCTCTGCTGGGCACTGACACCTTGGCTCCATTTTCTTGTCCATTTACCCACCCTCCCAAAGCAGGGCTGGGGGCAGAAGAGAGGGGACACATTCACAGGTGGGTGGGTCAGCGCCAGGATATCCAGAACTGCCTCGGGTCCAGCAACAGGTCTCAGGATGGGGCTCTCCACAAGAAGGAACCAGAGAAGCTGGGGCAGAGCTGGGGTCTCCAGAGCACTCAGGGCTCAGGGCAGAGAGGTGGGGCTGGCTCACCTCGAGACCAACCCCAGGAGAATAAATAAATAAATACTGTATAACTTTGCCATCCCCCAGCCTGGCCTGTTCCCCCATCGGGGGACGGTCACTGCCAACCTCAGTTCCTCTGGCCGCCATCCCGAGACAGGGTGGCTGGAAGGAGGGGGCCCGCCCCACCCTGTGGACTGAGAAACCAGGGCCGGCAAAGTCTACACAGTTCAGGAGGTCACAGCGGGCAAGTGGGGGCCTGGGCCCAGCCCACAGGGTGAGACCAGGTCCTGCCTGTCTCCCTCTCTTCTGACCCATGGCTCTCCACAACGAGCCACAAGGGAGCTGGGCGGGGGTTGACCTCCCGGCTGTGGGACGCTTTTCCCTGCCCCTCACCCCCCAGCCTTTGCTCCTGCTGGCTCTTCCTGGTCCGGCCGCTCAGGGGCACGTAGTCACCGGGCTGACCGGAGGAGGGACGGCGGGAGCCCAAGTCCAGCTGGGGCCGCCGTCCCCTCGGGGTACGGCCGGGTGAGGCTAGGCAGGCGCTCGGCGCGTCAGAGCTGGAAGGGGTACTGTCGGAGGTAGTCGGCCATGCGCCGGGGCAGCGGCAGGCAGTCCACGTCCGCCGCCAGGCGGTTGATGACGAGGCGACACAGGTGCTGCAGGCTGCGGGCGCTGCTTCGGCGCACGAACGGCTGCACCAGCTTCAGGTGCACGGCCGTGACTGCGGGCGCGGGCAGCGCCGGGTCGCCGGGCACGTCTTCCTTCGGGGTAGGCGGGGCCGGGTGGGGCGCAGGGTCAGGGCTGTCACTTCGGCTGTCGGCGGTACAGGAGGCCACATAGTGCTGCACCAGGCTGACCACGTCGGGGAAGGCTAGGATGCGCGGCCTGGACAGGCAGTTGGAGTCCAGGCGGAAGCTGGAGTCGGCGTACTCGATGCGCACGTTGGTGGGGCCTCGGGTGGTCTTGACCGACAGTGTGAATAGGTAGCTGGGGTGGGTGCTGTCGCGGACGAGGAATGTGCCCTCTGGCATCTTCTGCAGGTGTTGCCGGGCCTCGCTGGCCGTGATGGAACCCCAATACCAGCCTAGGCAAGTGGAGAGGGAGCCGAGAGACTGGTCACAGGGGAATTCGGCTGGGGGGCACAACATAGGGCCGGGCCGGGCAGGGCAGGGCAGAACTCTGCCTCCCCCTTTACGCTTCCGTGGGGAGCGCTGCACCTCCCCCATCAGACTCTCCTGGGCAGGGCCGTGTCTCTCAGATCAGACTCAACGGACAGAGCTAAGTTTTTCCCACCGGACTTCCCAGAACAAGGCCTGCTTCCCTCCTCAAACTCACCAGATTCCCGGAGGTAAGAGAAGGTCTTGGCTATGCACAGCAGATCCTCCTCAGGGTCCAGCACCTTGGGTTCACTCTCTGGCTGGGCTGGGGTCTCCTCTCCAACCTCCTCCAGAAAGGCCCCGGCAGGCAAAGGCTGCATAACTGGTTCGGGCAGCTCCAGGGACTGGGCCCCCAGGGGCCGCTGCCCGATCCGCTCCACAGCCAGCAGAGAACAAGGTCTAGACGAGGGTGGATGGGCAGTGAGTGGAGGCCCCGTGCTCGCCCTATTTCCAGAGACCCCCTGTGCCCCGGACCAGCGACATGACCTCTGGCCAGTCCATCTCAGTGTCCCCCTTGTGGGCTCAATGAGGTCAGCATACCACCTCCCAGCTGTCACCACAAAAGCCTCCTTGATGGCTTCCCCCAGGTGGTGATTCTCTTTTGAAAGAGCCTTCTCCACCCTCCTGCATTTTTTGAACAGTACTTAATCTCTCTATTGCGTACCAACCCAAAACGCAGATCATTCCCTATAGGCATTTCTAGCTCAGGATGGGCAACTGGTGTCCCCGCCATTGGTAGGATCCAGTGCAAAGAAGCCTCCCATTGGTGCCCTGTGGGCTGCGGGGGGCTGATTAGATGGCACTGGTCCCACCTGAGCCATGGCCTGGGCCTTCATGGGGTGCTCCAGAGAGGCCCCCAAATTATGGTAGGATGCCTGAGGTCACATGCTACCTCCCCTTGGATAGGAGTATCTGTCAGAGGAACCTAGGTCCACACTGGCCAGGGCTGAGAGGCTGGACCAATCTCCCCAAACAGGTCAGACTCCCATCCTGTTTTCTCCTCCCAGCTGGGAGTCTGGGGTGGACACTGACCTCTAAAGGCACTGGCAAGTCCCACCTCCCACAAACATAAGCTTCCCGCAAAGGGCAGGGTACTCACACCACATTCCAGTTCCCACCCTGGCAAGCCAGCCCTACTAGGCTTTATGATCTTATGCGAACGTTGCTGTCAGCTTCTCCACCCCCTAATGAGGGATGCTACCAGTCCAGATCCTGCGGGGTTTGGCTATACCGTATTCTCAGATGGCTAGAGTTGGGTTGCTGAGCCAGCCCCAATCTGAGCAGTAGCCTTTGTCTAGGGGAAGGCCACCCAGCATGGTGATCCTGGGGCTTCCCGGGAGTGAGGGGCATGGGCCCTGGATCCCAAGGAAGAGACTGCTGGCCCTTCCTCACTCCTCAGGAAATACATCCTCAGGCCTCAGTTCTGGGTGTGGTCCCCTGCTGGGCCTCAGGACACGAAGATAACAAAACCATGGGCCTTGCCTTCAAGGAGAACTTATAACCCAAAGTCATACATGCAAAGGGTGTCATGGGGGGTCAAGGTCTGCCTGTTCCTGAGCTGAGTCTGTGAGGCCAAAGGAAGGAGGAGGGGGAAGGCACTCCCTCCAGGCAGAGGTGACAGCACAGGTAAACAGTGCCAGGGACTTCTTAGGAGGCGGGAAGAGGTGGACAGAAGCCTTGGTGGGACGCAGGCAGACGAGCCAGATCTCACAGTGTAGGTTATAGGTGAGCGTTAGAAGATTTTAACAAACCCGGAGAAGGGGTCACAAGACCCTGGTCCACCATAGTCTGCGTAGTACCTCTCCACAGCCACTCTGGGTGCATTACGGGTGCTCTGGAATCCTACTGGGGGAAACAGAGGCCAAGCTCTAAGCAACCAGCTGGTGGCCTGCCTGCTGGGTCCCCGAACTCAGCTCAGGCTAGCCACTCAGGCCAGAGCCTCCAGTGTGGCCACGTCCAGACAGCTTAGCAGGACCCTTGTGGGTGTGGGCACCTCTAGGGTCAACATGGTGTCTCGGTGTGTGAAACAGCTGTAGTGCTCTCCGCAAGCTCCTGGCCAGTAACTGTGTACCTGAGGAGGGGTGTGTCCACAGCTGTCATCGTCATGGCAAGGGCCATGGCTTGTGTGTTCCAGGTGTGGTGCCTGTATGTGTGTGTACCTGTTGCGGAGCCCCGCCTGTGAGTCCTGACTGGGGACCCAGGCCAGGGGAGCATACTCAGCCCTGAGGGTGGGCCCCTCAAGCAAAGCCAGCAGCTGAAACCTACATTTGGGAATCTCTGCTCCCTACCCCAGGAGGGCACCAGCTGGGTTGTGGCTGTGTATTTGGAGGTCTTAAAAATCTTGCTCCCTGACACCGAACACTGGCCCTGAGGTCCCAAGGGGCCTTCGTCTGGAACAAAGTAAAAGGAGAATGTGGGACCCCAGAATTGGGGGAGGGGTCCTGAGGACAAGGGTGTGGGGGTGTTCGGGAGTCCAAAATTCAGAGGAGGGAGATGCTGGAGACCATCAGGGAAAAGTATAGTAGCACAATCTTCCTAGCTTGCCTCCCTGGAAACAGGACGGCTCAGGGCAAGGGGCACTTCAGCCTTGCCCCACCTTCTACCCTTCTTCACTTGGTACTATGCCAGTTCTGATAACAACAGTCACTGGGCCACCCAGCTCTCCCTGGGTGTGGACACTCACTCATCTCTCCTTTCTCTCTCCCTGGAGCTTTCGAGTTCCTGTCAGATCAGTCTGGAGAACTTCAGACCTATTGGTTGAAGGGGGATGCTGAGGCAGAAGGAATGTACCACGAATGCTCAGCTGAGGCCAAGACTCTGTCTTATCAGCCCCCACCCCACCCCCGTCTTTGGGGAAAGTTGGAGAAGGGAGGCAGGAGCCAAGTCCTCACAGTGGGATCCCAGACTGGGCCGAGAGGAGGGGTGACGCAATTGTGGGGGTACCACAGGTAAAATCAGGCCAAACTCAGGCTCTTCCAAGAGCTGCTGGTCAGCAGGTGCCAACCTGGGGGGTGCCATGGATCTCAGGCTGGCTTCCCAAGAAAAGCCTAATTGTTAGCCGGTGGCAGAACAGCGGATGATGGGACAGAGAGGGGCAGGGGCTAACCCAAGGTCACCAGTAGGCCCTGCGGCCTGCAGGGTAGGGTAGAGAGCTCTGGGCCCAGAGGGGGTCTGGGCAGGTGAGCCACGTCTTGGAGTACGCGCTTCGCGGGCGTTCAACTGCTCCAGCCAGAACCCAGGGTTAGGCTACCCCGTGTTCCTCCCGTCGCCAGCCGACCCCCAGTTTCACCACCCACAGTGCGAGTACAGGTAGTGACGGTGTTGTCACCGCTCCCTGTCGTCACCCCGAGGTCCTTCCGCACTCGGTCATCTCCGACCCGTCAAGCCCTCTCACTGGCCGGCAGCGAGCACGAGGCGGTACGCTCCCGAATGCCGGCCGCAGAGGCCGGGCGGGGGCGGCGAGCCGCGCTTACCCCTGAACGCAGAGGACCATGTCCCGGCAGCGGCAGCAGCAGCTCCGGAGCTGGGGCTCGGCCGGACGGCGGCGGCTGGAGGGAGCCCGTGGGCGCAGGTCTCGCTCGCAGGGGAGGCTCCCTGGGCGCTCGGGCGGCGGGCTGGGACTGAGAGGCGACCGCGCGGGCGGGCCGGGAGGGCG